TCCGTTTGGCCCCTTTACTCTGACAGGTTATGTCTGTTTTGGTCTGGGGCCGTAGGTAATCTCAGGATTACTGGCCGGTTATGTCCTTAACCCATAGGGGCGGGTTCGGGTCATGACAATAGCACTTGGCCAATTGTGTTGATTCCGTATAATTTACCACCATGGATGTGCATGAAACAACCAAATCTGATTTTGTCTGTGCTGATTGATGGGCCAAAAGGACCTGGCGATAAGATCGATGTGTATTTGCAACCATTGATTGAGGAGTTGAAGGAATTATGGGGTGAAGGTGAACAAATATTTGATGCATCAACCAATGAAATGTTTCAATTGCATGCAGCTTTGTTATGGACAATCAGTGACTTTCCTGCCTATGCCAACTTATCAGGATGGAGTACGAAAGGTGAATATGCTTGTCCTTGCTGCAATATGAAAACTCAATCATATTGGTTGAAGCATGGTAGGAAGTATTCATACATGAGTCATCGTCGTTTCTTACCAGTTAATCATAAATTTCGAAAGGATAAAGTATCATTTGATGGTAGTCGAGAATGGAGACTAAAACCTCAAATTTTATCTGGATCTGAGATGTTGCATCAGTTGGAATCAGAAGGTGTCCTTAGTCAGTACAAGAGGAATGACCTGAAGGAAATGTTCAGGAGACAAGAAGAGAGGGAAAATAACGGAAGAAAAAGCCATAATTGGAAGAAAAAAAGTATATTCTATGAATTGCCATATTGGGAGCACAACTTAATAAGACACAATCTCGATGTGATGCACATAGAGAAAAATGTCTGCGATAATATATTGTGGACAATACTAGGAGTTGGAGGAAAATCCAAAGATAATGTGAATGCTCGACGTGATTTGCAAGAAATAAATATCAGAAAACCATTGCACTTGCAGTCAAGAGGGTTCAATAAAGTTTATGTACCTCCTGTGCAATTCACAATGATCAGTGATGAGAAAGATATGTTTCTCAAAGCACTCAAGGAAGTAAGAGTACCAGACGGTTATGCATCCAATATCTCGCGACATGTGCGCTTACAAGATAGAAGTATTTTGGGGTCTTAAGAGCCATGATAGTTATATTTTGATACAACAACTTATTCCTTTAGCTATACGGAGGTCCTTGCCTAAGAATGTGATTGAACCATTGATTGAGTTGAGCACTGTTTTTAGACAATTATGCTCCAAAGTGAATCGTACAAGTGATTTGGAATATATTTAGGATCGTATAGCAATAACTCTTTGTCATCTTGAAAAATTTTTTCCACCATCTTTCTTTGACATAATGGAACACTTGCCTATACATCTTGCTGATGAAGCTTTGATCGCTAGAGCAATACAGTTTCGATGGATGTACCTGATTGAAAGGTTTCTTCTTACATTGAAACAATATGTGCGTAATCGAGCTCATCCGGAGGGCTCAATAGCTAAGGGGTATTTGATGGAAGAATGCATGAACTTTTGTTCTCGCTATCTCCTTGATGTGGAAACCAAATCGAATCGACCGAGGAGAAACAATGAAGGTGATAACAACATGGGTCGAGCTGTAGGCGAAAGTACAACATTTTATCTTAATGATAATGAATTACAACAGTGTCACCGATATGTGTTGTTCAACACAATTTCAGTTGCACCGTTCATAAGGTAATTTATCACTTTCCTAGTATTGTAAAATTCTAAAGTGAAATCTATATGATATTGACTATTCTCTTCCAATTTGCACAGCAAACACCTTGAAGTCATTAAGAGCAAAATGCCACGTGCAAGCGATCATCAAATTCAATCTGAGCATTTCGAAACATTCTACACTTGGTTTAAGGACCATGTATGTATTTAGACATTTCATTTCACATATCTAAATATACATAAATTTTGAGTTGAAGTTGAAGTTGAATTTATATTTGTTTTTAAAAAAGGTTCAGACCTTGCGAAGGACAAGTAATATTACATTTACTGAAGAAATCAATAGATTAGCAGATGGTCCTCATACCTTGGCTAGGCGGTTCAATGGTTACATTATCAATGGGTTTCATTTTCATGTGAAGGCTGTGGATGATCGTCGGGTGACTCAAAATAGTGGTGTAGCTTTAAAGGCTAATACAATGAGTTATGCCAGTCGGAAGGACAAGAGTCCTCGTGTCGGTGCTGTGTACTACTATGGACAGTTGACTGATATTGTCGAAATCCGGTACACTAACAATATGAAATATGTGTTGTTTAAGTGCGATTGGGTTGATAACACTAGGGGAAAAATGGAAGACGCTTTCAAATTCACAGTAGTCAACTTCAATCGTTTGTTGTACCCAACTGATCGTGTTAGCAATGAACTTTTTATATTATCATCCCAAGCCGAGCAAGTTTGGTATGTTCCTGATCCTTTGGAACCAGATTGGCAAGTTGTGGTAAAGATGTCTCAAAGAGGTCTTTTTGATATGAATTCTAATGATGATCCTCAAGTTGAACCCCTATATGACTCAACATTTGGAAGACAACGCTGTGCTTCGTGATGAAGAAATTGGTTGGGTGAGAGAAGGAATAGAAGGAGCAACAATTGATGTTGATGAAGATGGTTGAACTTCATTTGTGATTGTTGAGGAAGAGGCTTGAACTATACTCCGTGTTTCTTAGGTTTCTATTATTTGCAAATAAGAAAAGTTTAAATATTGTTAAAATGTCTCGTGCTTAATTGCTGAATTTGTGATAAATTTATATATGTTTATGTGTTGTTCTATTATCAAGTGTAGAATTTCATAAAAATTTTCTTTCTTTTTATAATAAATGTTTACTTACTGTGGTGGTTGTTTTTTATTCAATTACAATGTCGGTTATAAATTATTTGTTGATATAGGAAAAGAAACTTGTTACGGAGATAAAGAGAACTGCTAAAATGTTATATTATTAGTAAATTGATATCCATATTTCTTGTGTATTAACCTTTTCATATTTCTTTCATTTTAGGATGAAACGGAAGAGGAAGACCTTTAAGGCCCCTTGCATTATGGATGAGGCTTTACGTGTGCGGGCAAGTCCCTCGCTACCTTGTACTATTGATGGAGCATCTTCTCCATATGTTTCGAGGTAAACTTTATTGCTAAAGTTTTATTTGTTCTGAAACTGATTTGTATCATTTGTTTATATTTATATCTTGTGTTATATTATTAGTAAATTGATATCCATATTTCTTGTGTATTAACCTTTTCATATTTCTTTCATTTTAGGATGAAACGGAAGAGGAAGACCTTTAAGGCCCCTTGCATTATGGATGAGGCTTTACGTGTGCGGGCAAGTCCCTCGCTACCTTGTACTATTGATGGAGCATCTTCTCCATATGTTTCGAGGTAAACTTTATTGCTAAAGTTTTATTTGTTCTGAAACTGATTTGTATCATTTGTTTATATTTATATCTTGTGTTATATTATTAGTAAATTGATATCCATATTTCTTGTGTATTAACCTTTTCATATTTCTTTCATTTTAGGATGAAACGGAAGAGGAAGACCTTTAAGGCCCCTTGCATTATGGATGAGGCTTTACGTGTGCGGGCAAGTCCCTCGCTACCTTGTACTATTGATGGAGCATCTTCTCCATATGTTTCGAGGTAAACTTTATTGCTAAAGTTTTATTTGTTCTGAAACTGATTTGTATCATTTGTTTATATTTATATCTTGTGTTATATTATTAGTAAATTGATATCCATATTTCTTGTGTATTAACCTTTTCATATTTCTTTCATTTTAGGATGAAACGGAAGAGGAAGACCTTTAAGGCCCCTTGCATTATGGATGAGGCTTTACGTGTGCGGGCAAGTCCCTCGCTACCTTGTACTATTGATGGAGCATCTTCTCCATATGTTTCGAGGTAAACTTTATTGCTAAAGTTTTATTTGTTCTGAAACTGATTTGTATCATTTGTTTATATTTATATCTTGTGTTATATTATTAGTAAATTGATATCCATATTTCTTGTGTATTAACTTTTTCATATTTCTTTCATTTTAGCATGAAGCGAAAGAGGAAGACCTTTAAGGTCCCTTGCACTATAGATGAGGCTGTACGTGTGCGAGCAAGTGCTTCGCTACCTCGCACTATGGATGGAGCATCTTCTTCATCTGTTTTATCTCCATATACAGTATCAACTACTTTAACACGACGAGGTCGAGGATTTGCCTGAGGGATAAAGGAATGGGGTACAGGCACTAAGATCCAAGTAAAATTTGATGATAAGTTTCAACCAGTGGAGGATGATGGCAAAAAGTTGAAAGGACAATTAGGGTTGATCGTGCGCAGCGGGCATAGAGTCCCACTTACATATCTCAGTTGGAATGTGATGCATGTTGATATAAAGGAGAATATTTGGCAAGAGGTGAAGGTATATAGTTTTCCCTTTTGCTAATTACGATTAGGGTTTATGCTTAGTTTTTTGAATTTTTCCAAGTTATTAGTTATTTGATTTATGATTTCTTGTTAATTGTGTCTAGTTATTAATTATTAGCTTGCTTGTGCATTTGTGTATGCTCTATAATTATGAGGATGAAATTGGCTTTCAATTTGTGCTTTGTAGGACAACTTGGTATACTGTCTAGATGAATTCAAGGAGGTTTGTATGCCACTTTGTAGGACATCGTGGAAAGATCATAAAAGCAAGACAAAGTCCAAGTATTGGGTTCCATTCAAGAATGATCCGGAGATTGCTTCTAGAGTACCTAGTAACATAGTGCCAACCCAGTGGAGGAAACTTGTACAATATTGGGCGAGTAAAGAAGTGCAGGTATATGTATTCTTTATAAAATTTTAATTAATGTTTTAATGATAAATAACTAATGTTTGATATTCTAACCAATGTTATAGGCGATTGCTAAGAAGAATTATTCTAATCGGGGATTTCGTGGGCCTCCACATACGACCGGAAGGACATCTTTCTCAGATATTCGTTTCAATGTATTGATCTTGTGGTTGCACCTAAGGCATCATCTGTGACTACCATTGCTGCTGCAGCTGCAGCCGCAGCCGCACCTAGTGCACTTGGTGTGACACTTGTGGCTGCAGTTGTGGCTGCACCTAGTGCTGCATTTTTGACATATTATGTTATGAAGACTTGAACTCCTAACTTGAAAAAAAATGCAGATGACACATAAAGGAGAGCAAATAGATAAGATGAGTCTCTGGAAGAGGGCACACAACCTGAATGATCCTGATGTGGTAGCAATTGTGGTATGTCTATGGCTTACATGTTTTTACACATATTTTGTTTTTTTACCAAACATTGTCCTTATGTTTTCAAAATGTAGGAGGAATATAATGCGCATCTTTGGAAAGTTCCTAAGGAGCAACATACGATTGAGTATTGCGATGGGATTTACCATAAAATCCTTGGGAAGGATGGACATGGGTATTGCAAGACCTATGGGAGAGGAGTGCCCTGGAGTGCGGTGTATGCGCGAGGAAGCGGCCCATCCCAATCATTAGCAACCCCTTCATTTATTGATGAGATCACACAGCGTGTGACACAAGACGTTGAGTCTAGGTTCACTACGATGATCAAGAACCTAACGGCACGTGTTTGTTCTTAGAGTCACAGGGTGTGGCTGGGAGTATGAGCTTGAGAGAGGTGCAATACTTACAAATTGATGAATTTTACGTTTTATCAATTTGTATATATACATATGGAAATTATTAACACATTATACTAACATATTGTAGGTGTCAGATGCATCTAGTGGGCAACAAGCTTCAAAAGAAAATGAATAGGTATGCATTTCTCTGGGTATTACCTCTAGTTGTTATACCCAAAATGTACTGGTAAAGGATCCCTTGTATACTGGAGCATGAATCTTTAATATTTAATCCCTAGTAAAGAAACATCCTTTAGATTGTTGTTCCTTGGTTTTGACTCTTTTGTGTAGTGGTTGTGGAGCATGAATCTTTAATATTTAATCCCTGGTATTGTATGTAGCATTCCTGTTTTCCTTGTCTTTGAAAAGTTTGATTTCTCTCAGCAAGAATGTTAGTTACTTTGCGGAAGGCCAACAGTCAAACATTTTCACCACAGTTCTACAATATTTAAATTGTTTCAAACATATATATTTTGTTTTGCTTCTTGTGAGGTAGAGAAACAGCGATTGGCTCAGTGAATTAACCTACATAAGTCTCTCTCTCTCTCTCTCACACACACACACACGTAGAAACATAAGTACTGTAATCATGTTTTGAGTGTATTTATATGGGAGTATATACCATATATTCTCCTTTGTCCTCATTTTAGCCATGCCTTATGTTAGAACTCAACAGTTCAGTTTTATGACTTTTCCTAAAGATAAAGATCATACCTACCCTATGGTCAGTATTGGCCAGTCTTATTACCGATACATGTGACCTCGCGTGTATAATTTTTAGTTCATGATTGTATATATATATATATTCTGCTCATTTATTGGTTTTCTTTTTCTTGCAACCAAGTGATCATACCCAATTTTATGCTGTAGTTGATATTGCACATGGTAATTGGATTCTAGGAGATTTCTGGGAAAGAAGTTTTGGGACCATAGAATTACTGTTTAAAGTCCCAATCTAATTTTCATGGCCTAACGTGATGTGGTGATGTTCGAAAGGATGTTTGATTCTAAAACTAAGAAGGCATGCTGGATCTATA